CTTTCCTGCCAGACACTTTCCAGCCACACTTCCCAAGCCTGGAGCGTTACCTGGGGTTGTTGTGGCCCAAGAGCAGGACCCTGCACTTGGCCTTGTTGAAGCCCAGACCATTGACATTGGCCCAACCATCCAATCTATCCAAGTCTCTGTCCTCATGCAGATCAACCAGCTTGGTGTCCTCCTGAAGGGCAACTAGTTCTTGCTTTCCATCCAAGAGGCACCTTTCTGTGAGGTCCCCATGAAATCTGGACCCAAACCACGACATTGCTTTCGATGGGGGAATCATCTTTGGGTGGGAAGCAAAAAAAACCAAACCAACCAACCGACAAAATCCTACTGGGAAATGGCAGGGGATGGTCTGGGAAATGGCAGAGGGTGGCTGCTCTGACCTGGTGCCTCCCCACAGTGCTCAGCCCTCTCCAAGCTGAACGCAGAGGTGGCCTGCATCGCTGTCCACGAGGAGAGCGCCTTCGTGGTGGGCACCGAGAGGGGCCGGGTGTTCCTCAGCGCCCGCAAGGAGCTGCAGGCTGACTTCCAGAAGTTCTGCAGTGAGTATCCCTGCCCAACCTACCTGCCAAGGTTGGTGGCCTGGTTGTGCCAGCTGGGGTTGTGTGCGTGGCTGTGGTTGGGGCGGCACCGCAGCGCGGTCGGTCCCTGGGGCTGGGAAGTGTTTGAAGTGGTGGAGGACACGGGTGGGAAGTGTGGCTGGATCTTCTCCCATCCCAGGAGGGGCTCCCCAGGCACTGGCTCTCCTCTCTGAAAGTGTCCTGAGGTGCCACAGGGCTGGATGGCTGTGCTGCTCCCCTGGCACTGTTGATGTGCTGGAGCAGCTTCTGAGGACATTGCAGGAAGAGTTTGTCCCAGTGATCCCCCAGGATCAGGGAGGTTTTCTTGGGTCAAGGCTCTTTTCTGAGTTCTGGAAAGACAGGGATAGATTTGGGAGCTGGCAGTGTTGGTCATGGAGCTGCTTGGTTTTTTAGAGGGGTTAACAGTGGTTGAAAGAAGGCCTTGAGCAGGAGCTGTGGTCCCCCTGGTCTTGGACTGGGATCAGCAGGTATTGCAGGGATGTTTGTGACTGGTGGCAGCCTGGTGTGTGGTGATGCTGGTGCCCAGCCCTCTGTGCCAGCTCAGTGACTCTGCTCGCTCCCTAAAAACACCCTGGGAGCTGCATTTCTTGGGTAGCATCATCCCTAGGGTGCCAGCTGCTGCTGTCTTCACTCCACGCCAAAGCTGGGGTGGGATCTGGCTTTGGTGGTGGCAGGGACCCCAGAGCAGGTGGGTCCCATCCCTGGGTCTGCTCACACCTGCTGCCCAGGGTGGGATGTCAGTGAAGTGACCCAGCTGTGTGCACACGTGTGGTGTTGGTGGAAACCATCTTGGTGCTTGGTCTGTTGGAGAGCTTGCTCAGGAAGGTCTGAGGATTGTAGAGCTGCTGGGGTCATTCCCTGCCCATGTGCAGGGTGAGCTGGCCTGGCTTGGTAGGAGCCCCTCCCAAGGCTCCATCCTGCCCACCTGCCACCTCCACCCTGCCACCTGCACCCGGGACACCCACTGGCAGTTACCCTCCACTTGGGTGCAGTGTGCTGTGCAGGATGGGAGGCATTTGGGGGAGTTTTCCTGCATTTGCAGGTGACTCTGCCTCCCCTTCCCACCACCCCTGAGAGGCAGGGAAGTACCTGAGCAGCAGGGTGGCCAACGGGAGGGAGCTCCCTCTTATGTATTAAATGCCAACTCTGTCTCCCTAGAGCTCACAATATTGGTGGCCATCTGCAAATCTCACTTGTAGAGATACATCTCCAGCTATTCTCTCTGGTGACCTACAGTGCTGGGACAAGGTGCCCCCAACATGGGAACCTGATTCTCCTTCAGTTTCATTTACACTTTTGTCAAAATGAAAGTCTAGTTGGAAGCACAACATCTTGGCAGTGGGGCTGGAGCAAAGTGGCTGATGCTGGAGACAGGGTGAAATGTGATAACTCTGTCTTGAATTATAAATGGCCCAGGCTCAACTCTGCTCCATAAAGCTCTTACAACTGGCACGCAGTGGAAAGCATCCCTGGAAGTGCCTCTGATTTATGGTCTAGCTGCCCCCTTAGGAAGGATCTGAAATAATCTAAAGCAGACATCATTGGGAGAGGGAAGAAGCTTCTTATCTCTCTGGGTGTGCAGCCCTTGCTTGGATGCCCTCCTTTATCTGAACCCCTGGCTCAGCCTTTCCTGGAGATGGGGACACTTGACAGTGATCAGGATTAATGTCACTGGAGAAGAGGTGGCACCCAGCCAGGAGGGAGGGTCAGTCATAGGAGGGTGTGGATGCAGATGCATTTTGCCACCTTGGTAAAACACTCCCAAAAAAGTTATCCAAGGCCTGTTTCCCTGTGCTGTGGGAGCCATGCAGAGCTTCCCAGGGGTTGTGTGGTGCTGGGTGGCTGTCCCCTTTCTTATGTCTAGTTCTGTGGGTACCCTGGGTGGCTGTCCCCTTTCTTATGTCTAGTTCTGTGGGTACCCTGGGTGGCTGTCCCCTTTCTTATGTCTAGTTCTGTGGGTACCCTGGGTGGCTGTCCCCTTTCTTATGCCTAGTTCTATGGGTACCTTGGGTGGCTGTCCCCTTTCTTATATCTAGTTCTGTGGGTGCGTTGGGTGGCTGTCCCCTTTCTTATATCTAGTTCTGTGGGTACCCTGGGTGGCTGTCCCCTTTCTTATATCTAGTTCTGTGGGTACCCTGGGTGGCTCTCACCTCTTCCCTGTGCTGTCCCAGCCACAGTAGGGATCCGCAAGCTCCTCTTTGAGCACCCAGGCAGCTTCCAGGGATGATCACAGGCAGGAGCCTGTCGGGGATGATGAAGGAATTAGTCCTTCCCCACCGAAAAATCCCCTGTGAGTTGCTCTGGATGGAGCAGCAATAATGCACTTGTAGTGTTTAATTTTCTGTGCGTTTGGAGACGCGAGGAAGTCGTTGCTGCAGATATGCTTTATTGGAGGTTTAATGGGGGAAATTAGCAGGAAATAGCTGGTATTACCGAGCTACGTGACGCTGAAGGGTAAAAAAGCCTCCAAGAAAGGCGGATTTTCTTTTCCTGGGAGATTGGAGGCTAAGCAGATTGAAACCAGAGAAAAGAAATGTGCTGCCCAATTAACCACAACAGTTTCAGCGTCGCCGAGTAAAACCTGCGGAGAGGGGGGACACACACACAGGGTGACCAGCCCTGCTCCTGCCTGTGCTGCTGGAGCTGCCAGGGGCTGTGGTCACATCTGAGATGGGAGGCTGGGTTTGGTGGGAAACCCTGGGCACCCACCTGCATGTCCAGAGGCCTTTACTGGTGCTTTGGGGGTGGCGGGGGACCAGGCACCCGTGGGACAATGTCATGCCTGGTGGGTGGGTTTGGATTCACCTGACTGAAATAGGTGTAACCTGGCTGGTGGGTTCAGTGGCTTTGCAGCCACTTGAGACCATGGCACAGCATCACCCACGAGCCCTCTTCTCACCACAGCATCTCCCATTTTCTCCTCTCCACCTCCCCTTTGCAGGAGTCCAGCAGAGGAAGGAGCAGGACGCCGAGGTGCAGAAGAAGGCAAAGGAGTGCGGGCGCAGCGTGCTCAGGGTCTCCCCGGACCAGGGATCAGACGTGTACCTCCTCAGGAAGATGGTAGAGGAAGTGTTTGATGTGCTTTATAGTAAGAACCTTCACGCTTCCATTTGGGGACCTGCATTGCCCCGGGGCTCGCTGAGCTGCCCGGCGCCGCTGCCAGACGCGGCTCTTGGCCCCATCCTGGGCAGCGTGGTGGGACCTGCTCCTGCACAGGGTTAGGGTTGTGTTCAGGTGGGATCCAGCCACTCCTCTTTCATTTCCCAGTGCCCCAGACTGCCAGAGGAAGCCTCTGCAATGCCCTGAGTGTGATTTTCCAGCACACCTTGACCCCCGCCGCTGGGTCTACAACATCTCTTTCCCCAACAGGGCTCTGCAGAGAGACTCTCTCACCCCTTTCCCTGGCAAGTCTATTTAAACAGAAAAAAGATGATTTTCTTTTTTTTTCTAGCAGGCAGCCCCAGCTCCAAGAGATGAGCTGGTGCTGTTCCAGCACATGCATCATCCCCAGCAATAAAGCTTCTGCAATTAAAATGTAGATGACCATATGGCTGTTGATGTGTAACCCAGTGGGTTGCAGAGCTCCCTCTGGGCCCAATCTGCAGAGGCTCGAGTGGCAGCAGTGCCTGTTTCCCTCTCTGCAGCTCCCTGCAGGAGCCCCCATGGAGTGGCTGGAGGTGTCAGCCATGTCCCAGCTTGTCCCCCCAGCAGTTTCTACAGGGCTGTGCTGGCTCGGGTAGGAATAGCAAGGTTGGATTGGGGTAACAGGGCTGTGAACCCAAATATTCCCCTGTGTTGCTCAGCAGGTTGTATTAACCCTGGGTGATGCTCCAGGGTGTGTGGCCAGAACAGCTGCAGAACCAGGGGTTTTTGCTTTCCCTGTTTTCCTGGGTAAAATCTCCCCTGGGATTTGGGATGAGCCACCAGGCCCTGTGGAGCTGTGTGGGTCTCCCTGGGCTCAAAGAGCAGGCATTGCCCCTGGTTGTGTGCTGGGTTTGGGAATGGACATTCCCCCACAGATGAGAGAGGTGTGACAGGTGCTTCCACCAGCCACCCTGTGTGTGATTTGCTGCCACAGGCTTCACAGACAGAAAGGGTAGATCCCTTCCCCAGGACACACAGTCTCTGAGGTTTTCTGAAACCACTTAAAGGACTTGGGGGTGATATTCCCTTTAATGGGGGTAATCAAAGCCTCTTGCTGCCTCCAAAAGTCTGGACCCAAGCTGGAGGAAGGGATGACATTGGAGAGCCAAGGGAATGGGGTGAGGAGTGTTTTTGAGCACTGGCTGAATCCCTGCTCCAAGCTGCAGTTCTTGTTCTGCTGCCAGGGGAGCACCAGGCTTCACAGGCCTCTTGGGAATAGGGGAATTATTCATATCTGACATACTATAAATATGCAATTGCATAAAAATGCTTGTCCAGGGTGTATCTGCATGGAGGTGTAAGGATCAGGTGGCCCATCCATTGGGATGAGCTTGGCCATGCCTTTACCTTGGTGTGTGTGTGGACAAGCTGGCTGGGTCCCCACCCCAGGGCAGCCACTGTCACCATGGCTGGTGGTGGTGGCAGGAGGAGATTGGGCATCCCTGGGCTGGTGGTTTTTGGCCTGGCATTGGCTGTCATTCTGGCATTGGGTGTCATTCTGGCATTGGTGTCATTCTGGCATTGGTGTCATTCTGCCTCTGCTGCTGGTTCAGTAGGATCAGCTGTTTCCATCCCTGAGCTGCTGGATGGGGAAACCCACTGGGAAGCTGCTCCCCTCCCAGTGTGCCCACTGGGAAGAGCTTCTCCTGGCTGAGTGGGGAGAAATACTGCCAGCGGTGCCCCAGGGTGATTCTGTTTCCAACACCAATTGTCAGAAATTAACAGTTATCTTTCTTACAGTTTTGAGGGCGTTTTTTTTTATCCTTTCAGTCGCCTCCCATCAACAGGGATTGGAAACAAAAAAAATCTTAGAAAATGCTCAGTCAAAAAGATCCTGTATTCCCTCCAGAGCTGGGTAATCTCTGCACCAACAGGATGACTGATTACCACCAGCTTCTATTAAACAGGCATTAATGATGATTATTGTCTCTCTTTAGCTAAACCGTGAGTCTCTGCACGGCAGCACGAGGCTCAGTGAAGGTCACTTTGACAGTAACACATTCCCCATAAAAATATGTTCAGGGAGTTTGTTGAGGGTTGGGTTGATAAGGAGCCTCTGTGGGCATTGGGAGCTTCTCCCCATCACGAAGGGAAGTGATGGAGGGAGGTGGAAAGCTGCTAGAGGCTGTGGATTGGGGCAGGGTGAAGCATCAGTACCCTCCCAGCTTGCAGAACGTGTACTCAGCCGTGTTGTGGTTCAAAGGTTTGTTTTGAAACTTCTGTTCTTGGCTTAATTAGAACATTATCTATCCTGCCTATGAGGAACCTTGATGGCTCGTGCAAGTTGCACGTTGTGAGTTGTCACACGTTGCTTGAAAGAACATGTTGGAGAAATCACTTTTAATAAGGACCTGCTGACAGTGCCATGAAATTCCGAGGGTTTCTCTAAGATCTTTTGTTTTGTTTTGTTGGGTTTTTTTGTTGTTGGTGGTGGTTTTTTCTTTGTTTTGTTTTTTTAAAAGAAGATATGAAAAAGGAACGATTTTAGAGAAAATCAACAATATCAAATCCCACAGTTATTTCAAGGTCCCATAACCTCCTCTGCCTGCCTTTCAGCCTGGAGATGCAGGCACAGACACCTTGCCACTCGGCCAGATGTTCTGCATCTGGACTCTGCTTTGCCAGCCAGGTCACATTCTTGTGTGGCTGTTGCTTCTGCTTCGTGCTTTCAGCACCAGGTTTATTGGTTGCAGCGACTTGGGTCGGTTTCCAAAGTGATTTTTCTGTGAAGAGCAGCTCAAGGGTTCTGCTTCAGCTCAAGGTTCCTTGAAAATTTCAGAGGAGGCTGGTTTTCCAGTGGTGTCTTGCTCTGTAGGCATCACCAGATTGGGCATGTGGGCACTTCAGCCCGTTTAGAAAACCTCTGTGGTGCTCACCAGTCACCTTCTGCTGCTGGGGAAGGGAAAGCAGTTTGATCTCAGCTCTGCAGGCAGGTTTTGGTGTCAGAGCTACAACAGAGCCAGCCCTGCAGGGTGGGGACATGAGGGGACTGTGTGGCTGTTGTCGAGGGGAGCGGGTGAGATTCCTGGGCTGCTGGAGGTGATGGTGCAGTCACGTGTGTCAGCGTTCATGCTGATGGTGGGGTGGAGGGAAGGCTGTTGGGGTGTGTTTTTCCTTGCCTTTCCAAGCACGTGGAGGCTGCCTGACAGCACCAGCAACCGAAGCACTTCCCATGCTTCCAGGAGGTAAAATAAGAAAACCGACTGGGAAAATAAGGTTCCCAGAACATCTCAGTAAACATGAGATAAAAATCAGTGAAGCCCTTCAGCCTCCTTTGTCAGCTCCCAGCTCCCTCCTGGCTTGCCAGCAGCCCAGCCCTCTCTGGCACATGGCCGGGCGCTCCCAGGGGTGGGCTTGTGCCAAGTGACCCCAACCAAGTGTTCTACTGCTGAGACATCTGCTTATTGGCTTTCTTTTTTTTTTTGGTGAGCTTTTTATTCATTAGCTCTTCTAGAAAGGGCTCGGAGGGCCTCGCGCGCTGAGGCGCGGAGCCAGGAAGTGGGGCTTGTCTCGTAGCGGTTCCGTGGGGATCTCTTGCTCTTCCATGGGCTCCTCCAGCCCGGCTGGGGTGTCCCCGGGTGTGTGACTCTGCCCCCTCCCCAGGTGAAGCCGTGGGGAAGAGCAGCGTGGTCCCTTTGCCCTATGAGCGGTTCCTGAAGGAGCCGGGCTTGCTGGCGGTGGCCGGCCTGCCCGAGGGGATCAGCTTCAAGAAACCCATGGAGTACGATGTGAAGTCCCTGATGGCCATCCTGGAGCACAGCCACAGCATCCGCTTCAGGATAAAGAGGTAATCTGGGGGGTGGGATCCCCCAGGGGTGGGAGGGCAGGGAGCCAGCGGGGTGGTGGCTCCTCTGACACCAGCTGATGGGAAGGATTTTGTGTGGAGCAGGCAGGAGGGTCCGTCCTACCTCCTCCAGACCCAGAAACCTGGGTCCAGCTGTGCCTGGCACACAGGTCTGTCAGTGCTGGGTGGCTCGAGACTGTTTCAGACTCGTCCCTATAATAAGCCTGTGTAAACGTGCACACAAACCACATCACTTGATGTGTCTCCGCCAAAATTCCCGCTGCGGGAAGCCGAGTGCTTTTCTGTCTCCCGAGAGGTTCCCAGTGTAAATGCTGCAAGCTCCTTCCTAGGCTCTGCTGGGGTTTTTTAACACCAGTCAAGGAGGGAGGCGGGGGCTCAAGGTGGGGCAAACTCCCCGTTTTGGCCACGGTTTTCACGGCGGTTCCGGGTGCGTTTCCCCTGCGTGTGTCTGGCTGGTGGCACCTCGGGTCTGTGCAGAGAAGTGCTGAGTGCTACCAAATGCCTCCTCTGAAGGCTCAGCACTTCTGGAAAATCAGGCTGAGGCAGCTAAAAGTAGGACAGGCAGAATTGGAGCCGTCCGTGAGCTGGGGGCTGCCTCTCTCCTGCGAAACACGTGGGCTTCCTGAGTCTGAAGCTCATCCTTGGGCTGGCCGAGGTCCCCCTTGAGCAGGGTCCTGGGGGCTGGGATGGGTGATGGAGTTGATCAAGTCTTAGGGTCACACGGATTGTTTTACTCCTTAAACACACCAGGCTGTGGAGCTAGATGGCTTTGCCCTAGGTAGCAGAGATGCTTTGAACTCGTGTGAGACCAATCTGCTTCACTTAAAGGAGACAAAAATGGTGCAGGTGGCTGAGGAGGCTGCAGGTGATGCCTGTGATTCTGAAACAAAGAGCCCAGCTGTGCAGCCTGCCTCACCCTGCTGGGCACAGCTCTCCAGGGGAACCCTTCACGTCCTTGCTCGTCCCATCTCAGCAGCGCCTCAGACCCAAAGGAACCTGTTTTATTTCCTCCTCTCCCTCCCTCCCTCTCCCCCTCAGGCCGGCGGACGAGCCGGGCCGGGCGCCGAACCCCGGCGCTGAGCTTCCCTGTTCCCCCCTCGCCTCCAAAGG